CGACGGTGGCCGACGGCGGTTCAGGAATCCGCGGAAAGCGGCCGACCGGTTAGCTTCCCCACCTTCCTTCCCTCCTATTCGTCAGGCGCGTCGTGCGTTCCTCAGCTCGGCTCGAGAGGCTGAGGGCGAGGGCCTCGCTTCGGGGGCTCTTCTTCTGCTCCTTCCTTCCAGTGCGGTTTCCCGTTGCGCCGGAAGTCACGGGGAAAATCGACCCACGAAGATGCGCTCCTCGTCCATCCGCTCGAGCAGTCGTCTCCTCGGACGAGAGAGGACGACCTCGCTCGACCGGAGCTCGTCCCTTGGAACACGCGTGTGGTTCGCTCGCTCGCTCGCTCGCTCGCGAGAGCTCGCCGGATGAGGGATATAGCAAACGGAAACTCGTCGGCGGCGGCAACGCTGGGCGAAAGGTGCCGCGCGGTCGAGAACCCAGGTAACACTGCTGAGGCCAACAGGTGAGCCGTGCCAGCGGTTTACGGCCAGTGGCGTACCACGCTGGTATCCTGCCGAGGGCAACAGGTGTGACGACGCGCCGCGCGACGTCAGGAGCGTAGCCTGCCGAGGTGTCGCTCAGCTCTCGCGCGCTCGCGCGCGCGCGGTCGCAGTCGCTTCGATAACACCGGCAAAAAGGATGTCGTTGGCAGAGGCGCTCAGCTTCTGTATCCTGCGAGAGACTCTGCGGTGGGCTCTAAGCGAAGCTGTCGCTTCTGCGGGATAAGCGCGCAGCTGAGAGAAATCGGATTAATTGATATGGACGACGCACGTTCCAGTCCAGGTGGCTACGGTCCGGGTGAAATCAGAGATATCTCTGGAAATTGGCACTGAGGAGCGTATCGATGAGAAATCTCGCGGCGAGTGTCGAAGTCGATGCACGTCGTTCCTGAGAACGCTCTCCAGACTTTGATTCCTAACGAGCAGAATAGAGAGATTAATTGCATCTCGCGACTGCAGTCGGTAGGTGCGATTGTGCTGTAAATTTGAATGCGAATGTGAGAACGGTAAGGGGAGGAGGGAGGAGAGTAAGTGGTACGAGTGCTAGGTAAAAACGGGGGGATGACAGTTGGATAGACGTATCTGATAATCTCGTGCACGATGAAACAATTTCGTAATTGGGATCTATTGGATCGTCTCTGAATTAAGTCGCAGAAGTTTGTGGAAGAGAGAGAGAGAGAGAGAACCGGTTCCCCCCGAATCCGGAAGAAACATATGTCGAACAAATGTTCCCGGGTAATTCACCGGCGCTGCGCGCCGGTTCTCATAAATATCGACGATCGCGCTTTCCGGCGCGAAACATCTGCATCCGCATTTCTGCGCGACACGCGCGATCAATTTCACTCTTTGCGTCCCTCTTCTGTTACTCGGAGACCTCGCGATTAAAAATGTTGCGAATGCAAAAATCGATGAGTAATCGCACGTCGCGGTGGGCTCGATAATTGCGCGTTTTTTCAGAGACCTCCTGTCTGAAATTTGCACGCGTGAACATTCATCACGTTACAAGCACGGTGCGAGCGACGTCGAATGCGTAATCCGCGTCTGTGTGAAACACAACGCAACACAACGTAAAATTGCACGACAGTAACGACATTCGTCTGTCAATTGTTTGTCAAAGGTGCTTTTCTAATCGACCTTTTACGCCACAAACGAATTCTCATCCGGGATGATACAATATTAGCAGGACGGCGAAATCTTGCGAAAATCTCATCTTCTCTTATCTCACGAGTCTCTCGAGTCACGCGCGAAAAGATCCATCTTGTAAAAAGGGGAGATTCGCTGCGTTATAATGAACGAGATCAGCCAATCATATCGAATGTAGGTTACATTCGCGCACCCAACGTGCCAACACCACCGCTTCCTTTAGCGGCTTCCTTTCCACCTAGTGCAGAGTAAAAGTGCCTCTTCGGAGAAGCGTCGCGCGTGGCCGAGCTGTTTTTGCACAATCCTCTCTCTCTCTCTCTCTCTCTCTCTCTTTTTTATTCAAATCATCCGGCCGATTTCCGAAAGCGCTTCCCCGAGCCGTCGCGCGTATGCGAATCTCTCTCGAGTGGCGGATCCGCTGTGAGCTACCCACGCGCGCTTCTCGTATCACTTCCACAGGCGACTTCTATTTTCTGCGGTGATTACAGCACGCGGAGTGACATAATCCGCGCGCGCGCGCCTGAGGATCGTCGTTATTTGGCTGCCCGACTTGGTTTTTCTCTACGCTTGGATACGTGACGTAGCATAGAGGAAAGTAATTACCGCAGAGGCGTGGCGTACTTTAGACCATTGTAGCAAATTTCGTCGCTTATTATACAGACAGCAAAATAATGTTTCAAGCTTCTTCATAAGCAGACTAATTTTATGTTATCCAGGGAATAATGACGTATATTTGATTTGGGGGGGGGGTCGATCAAGGGGGAAGTGAAGCGAACAACAAAAGACAGCCGGTAGAACGGGAAACGGGGAAGGGAGCAAATAACACGCATACACGCATAAAATAAAAATGAAATAAAATAAAATAACTCAACAACAGAAAATAAAAATAAAATTGTTTGATTGTGCTGAGAACAGAGACGAAATACAGAGCTGTCGCAGACGCCGGATTGTTCAAGATCGCAGAAAAGGGCGGAGTTTAACTAAACTCCTGTGCAACGTCGTCGCGATAAGTTGTACGGAACGAGCTCGCAAACTCGGCAATTCTGCGTCACGGGTGACAATTATTGCGCGAGTGTCTCCTTTTTTCCTCCTCTTTCTATGGTCATCCGACGCACGAACGTAGGCGCGACACCGCTCGCGTAATAAAGCGCACCCGGCGCGATACACAATAGAGGCCTGCAGGTGGACCGCTGCGCGGCGCGCAGCGTGGCGGATCGATAAATCGCGTTCGCGTTTGCCATTGATCATTAATCGCATCGCGGCGCCGTGTCGCACGAGCGGAATTCGCTCGATCGCGCCGTGTTGCGATCCTCGCGCTGTGTTCTCCGCGATGACCACATTGTTCGCCGACTTGCGAAACTGATAGAACCCGCATGCCTCTCGCATGAACGGTTCACGGCCGGTATTATTCGCGAACGTATCGATTCCAGGGAGAACGTGTCAGATCGTCACACGATCCGTGAAGTTCCTCCCTAACAGATGAGAAATAGAGACATGAAAATCGCATTCACGGTTTGAAATGTTTCTTTCATTTTCGGCACAACAAAGTCGAAGTGATACAACAGGAAAGAAGTTGATCAGGAAAATCAGGATATCATTTAAAATTGATAACGTGTCTGTATGAGACGAGACAGATACAAGATATCATTTCTAAGAATTCGTGTAAGAATTCGGGCATTTATACAAGAAATTTTAATTACTGCATTATGGCGCAAAATGTAATCGTTTCGATCGAATATAAAATATCGGATAGATATCGGAATAATAGCAAATATAGAGAAAATCTAAAGAAAAACAATGTTGGAACTTTTTATAGATGCAGAAATATGTTTCCTCTTCGTTTTATCGCAATTCTTTATATTTTAGAAATAAATGAATTTAGTGTCGGAAAGTAAATTAAAAAAATCTATGATAAAAGATACTGTGTGTGTCTACTTTGTTATTCTTATTTATTTTACCGATGAAGTTCGACGACGAGACGACGTGCCGCTCTCGTTGGCAGTTCGTTGGCAGATGTCGCCACTATAGAGGATTCTCAGTGACGTTTTATTGAATTTTTCCAGCTGCTAACACAGAACGACCAATCTACTTTCTACGACAAAGAAAATAAAGAAAAAAATTGATGTAACGTCGCTACGCGTACACGATCGACATACTGCTGTGTGTGTGTGTGTGTGTGTGTGTGAGTCGTTTATGTAATTATAATTTTAATTTTAATACAACGTAACGATCACACATATATACTTATTATTATGTTATCGCTCGCATTTTGCATTTGCGAAAAGTCATTATCGTCAAAATATAATTTAATTATTAATCTTTAAAAATTTTATAGTCAGATAGTGTGTATCCTTGTCGAGTATCCGTACATTGGTCGTTGTTATATTTTTCTCGTGTCACTATTAAACAAACATATTTTTAGGTATGACATTGTTGCAGTAATTTTTTGTTTTATACATTTTAACAATATTATTACTGATACGACAAATGACTTTATATGCCGCAGTACGTACTAGTATTATCACGAGCTGCGGTGTCCGAGTGGTTAAGGAGTTGGACTCGAAATCCAATGGGCTTTGCCCGCACAGGTTCGAATCCTGTCCGCAGCGTTCTCTTTTTTTTTTCGCATTAATGCTTTCTGCTATTTCTTTATGTAATTTACGAACTAGGTAGCGATAAAATAGAAGGAATCATCCATTCTCAACGTAACAAATGCAGCGTAATTTTTAATATTTATGCGCAAATATACCTATGCGTGTACCGTCGCTTTCTTTTCTAATTTCATTCACTGTTCCCTGGCTCTCGGCCGATTTGTCTCGCATTCCGATTTATTTGAGTCGAACTTGTCCTCGTAAAAATCGAAATATCTTTAAATATCTAAAATAGCGTAACTTTTCGTCGAGATGATTGTCACAACTTCCTTCGTTGCGAAATATGATTTCGCAAAAGTCACAAGAATGCTTTTTCGTGTAAATATACTCGTGTAAATATATTCGTGTAAATATTATTAAAATAAGACGACGTTAACTTCTTTTCTTCTTTAATTTCGCCCAACCTTCTTAGAGCCGTCCGATGTCTCGACTCGGAGGATGTCAAATCGACTCGAGTATTTTTAGATCATGCGATATATCGTACTTACCAAACAATAAAAAACGACATTATTCGTTGAAACGACGAACGTTGCTTGGGATAAGATTATCGTAAGAAATACGTTGCCTAGTCACTAAATCAAAACGAAATTCTACATTGTGATTCCTCGGAGGAGGAGGAGAGATACGGCCAAAGTGTGTACAAGTTCCACGCTCTATCTCAATTGACCTATAGCCCCACTCTCTCTCTCTCTCTCTCTCTCTCTCTCTCTGCTCTCGCGATACTCCGCTCGGTTGTCTGCCTGCCTATGTGTGAACTGACCCTCACGTTGCTCTTCTTTCACTTGACTACGAACCACCGTCCATCGAGGATGAACCGGAACAGCGCGCTCGTCACCGCAGTCTTCCTGAGCCTGGTCGTATACGCGACTCATGCGGAAGTCGTGCATTGGCATTCATGTCCTGAGCCTATTTGTGAGTATTCGCTGCGTCGTGATCGCGACATGAGCCCGCGATTTCCATGTGTCGCTAATGAACGAAGCGCCCGAGAAGGAGCTCGCGACAGGCTAGCGTGATAGCGTTAGAAGTGACAGTACGTTTCTCTCGCTCGTGACGTCGTCGGTGACTCTTCGCCTTCGCAGCTCGCGGAATCTGCGATCGGACTCGCGTCGATCAACCGGGGAACCGACGAAAATCGGGGAAAACTGCCGCTCGAGACGTTGCAGTTGCGCAGGAATTCCAATCGCGGATTGTTACGGTTCATGGCTCAAGGCTCGTAACAACATGACTGTTTAGCGCAATTACGATATATCGACTTCGCTCGCATGCGCGCGCGCGCGCAAATAAGTCCGAATGTATTCAAAGTCGCTCTCGATGAGGCTTTTTATTTCGGTTTATTATTTCATTTGCGATCTCGATATGGCGCATGGCGCTGGGATATATGCCTACCGACAACTACCGGTTACGTTAACGATATCCATCTTGCTTGCAGGAGCGACAAAGATAAATGTAGACTATTCTGATACCTCTTCTTTTCTTCCTCTATTGATTTTCTATCGACTTCTATTGATCGGCTTCTTCTTCTACTGACAGCGACGCCTGCGAGCTTTTGCAATTGTCGTTGCAAGCGACAGTCATTGGTACACGCACGTTTAAAAATTAGAAAGGATATTTCTCAGCCGATGGCATGACAGATTTATAAAAGAAAAAATACAAAATTCTTACATGTTAGTCCGATGTCGTGTATAGTATGAGACCTCGTATAAGACGAGATCTGAGACAAAGAAGAAAACAATCCGAGTATTATGTAGCAAATAAGAGTACGGAAACTTGGTTGGTTGGTATTAAATATTAAGTACCTCTCCTCCCCCCAGTCGTCATAAAAACTTGAAATGTCAAAAATATGTAGAAAATGTCTACTTTAAAATGTGCCTTGTCACTTGAGATGGGTCGCGTTAAATTTGAAACGATGACTATCGCTCGTGAGCGTCAAGTATCGTTGTAAACAGCTGTCGTTAGCAGCTGTACAGAATAGCTTTTCTCGTTAGTTGCCGACCAACATCGTTAAGTCGACAATTGTCAGTACGTGTGAACAAAATAGCGCTCTTGATGAGGTTATCCACGAAGCGAAGATGCAACATCGTGAAGTCGCGATTGCGCTATCATGAGATATCACTGTCAATCTCATCAACTCCTTACAATAATCCTTTAATTTCTTTAATGAAGAAACGGAAGAGTTTCATTTGGAGAATGGAGTGAATTTGTCATAAGAGTTCTTCGCGTTTAAAGATATATATATATATATATATTTTTTTTTTTTTTAAATTAGCACGTAAATCTTGAGCAGACAAAAGGCCCGTTCGTTTTGTCTGCATTGCTGAACTGGTGCATTAAGTTAAAGTGAGACAAACGTAGGTTTTCTCACTTCAACTTGTCGCACCAGTTCAGCAGTGCAGACAACACGAACAGGCCTAAAGATATCGCCTCGTGATATAAGTGGTTTTTAACACCAAGACGCAAGATTTACGCAAGATTCGCAAGTAAAATCTGCTCGAACGAGGCGCATCCGCGCAGCAATTGAGCAGCAGATTGTAAAAAACGGATGTTGAGCCGGATAGGATTAATAATTCGCTTGTCGTGAGCTTATTGCAATTTAGAGAGAATGCACTTTCTCCGTTAATTTGTCAGATATTATCGCTGGCGCAGCTCTCAACTACACATGATTGTTCTAAACTACGAACGAATTACAAACGTGTAAGTAGCAAGCGAGGAAGAAAGACGAAGATTGAAGCAACGGTGCCTCTTCCTAAGCAAACAAAGAAGGAACTACTAGACCAGAATAGCGTCGCCTTCAATCTCAGTCTTTCTCTTTCACTTGCCAGCCACGTGTTCCATACGCATCGGAACATGGGCCGCTCGATGATTCTCGCGGCGGGCCAAGTCCAAGATTAGGCTTTCCCGTTGTTGCCTCGAAGAAAAGGGTCAACGAATCATTACGAGTAATCGTCTCTTTGCATTTAGCCTTCTTTCGCGATAAGGAGGAAACGAGCACGCGTCGAACGCGTGGAAAGTTCATTCCTAGCACATTTCTCTAGTCGAAGACTGACAAGACCATCTTAGACTTTCGCTCTAAAACAGCCGTGCTAGCGTGGAATAATTCGTGTGGGAGATTCGTTCGAAGATACAGGCAGTCTGAAAGAAATTCTGCTCTCGCAAATAGCCGGTTCGGTCGGTTCTTGTTTAATCAACAACGAAACACGCACATCGGGAGATATGATCGCGCAGTGACTTCTCATTGGAGCATGTAGAAAGCGGGACGAAAAAGAAGCGCATCAAATGATAAGGTAGCCGGAGAAGTTGAAGAAAAAAAGGAAGAGAAAGAAAATCCTCGCGCTCCGTAAACAAGAAGTTTGCAGGCATTCACAAGAAAAATAAACACCGAAGTTCCTCGATGAGCGCTCGATGCGCGAGCGTGGGGATATTACAGGCGAAGAAACGCGGGGGGTTGTGAAAGGCACGTGAGAGTTTAAGCGCAAAAAAGGGATAAACGGTAGTTTTAACGCGCCGCGTAAAACGTGCTGAGAAACTGAGCGTCCGCCGCTTCACGCCGGCGGAGCGGCGGGACTTGGGCGGTTTCTCGCCGAGACGAGACGCGGTTTCGCCAATCCCGTGCGTAATTATTATTTTTATCGTTGTTGTTATCAGTCTGCTTGTATTCTTATTATTGCTACACCCGCCGACGATTTTCTTTCGCGCCTTTATCGTCCGTTAATTTGTGGAAAATAAATTGAGTAACAAATGGCTCGAGTGACCTCGCGTGAAAACCCGAGAGAGAGAGAGAGAGAGAGAGAGAGAGAGAGAGAGAGAGAAGAGAGATAAAGTATATCGTGGTATCTTTTAAAGCTCGCTTGGAGCAAGCCGAGATAACTCGGTCGGATCGCTCATAGTTTCGAGCTGCAACTTTACATCAGTTCCTTGCGCCACCGATGACACGTGTCGCGCATCTTTTTCCCCATTGCCAGCGAAAATTTTCGCTCAACTCGTCGTTTTGTGCAAAACATTTCAAGTAAGAAGTAGAAAGTAGATCTTGCCGGTTTTCGTTGCAACATAATGACCCGCGCATGTGACGTTCGCCCGAGTGGCGAAAGTGCATCGCGATAATCGCGGCGACAGCGTAATTCATCGCTCGAGTAACTCGAGAATAAATCAACGCGAAGCGAGCGCGAAGATTTGCGATTCAATTCGCGCGAATAGTCGCGCGAACGGAATGTCTTTCGTCACGCGGCGTCGCGTACAAACGCTAATTAAAAGTCCTGTGCGAACTCCTCGCAGTCGAACGACCCGCTCGCGATTATCGCGCCGAATTCGAAAGACGACGATTATCCGAATATTGTGCGAGACAGGGAGAGAGTCTCGCTGTGTTATTCTAAAATTAAGCCGGATATTCGCGAGCGTCAGGCGCAAGTCGGACAATAGCGGTAACGACCTACAGGTGACAGGACACGATCGATCGTTCTCCTTCTCCTCGGTCTTATTGCCTCGGTGTCTTGTTGCTCGTCGGCGATGTCATTGCTTGCGTTCAGCAGAAAAAGCTGCTTTGCTTTTTACGACTCGTCGTAAAAATCGTCGTAAAATTCGTGAATCTAATTGGCGTGTGCTCTTAAATTTGGCTGAATTCAGAAGAATGCTCCAATCAGATTCACAACAATTTTACAACAGTTGCGAAGCAGCTTTCTCTGCTGCAGCCGTGGTCTACAAATTCATCACTCCTTGAATTTCAGCTACAAATTGCGTCATACACGAGGTACGCGTGGAACCGTGCGCAGAGGCCCTGGAATCGAAGCCCTGTGGCTTGAAGAGAGGTCGCAATGCGAGCATAAGTTTCGACTACACCGCCGGTGAGTATCGCCGCGGCGTTGCCGCGGCACAATAACAGCCCTATAACGCGAAAAATCACATCGCGGGTCAGAATGGACACCTTCCTCGCGTCCTCGCGTTCAGGATCAAGCGTTCGTTCCGGTCGAGTTTTGCGCTCGGCCTGAGACTCGGACTCTTCGATCGAGTTCAAATCGGCCTCCGAACCGACAAACAAACGGAGACAATCAGGCGTTCGACCTGCTCCCCTCCGAAAACGAAAGTATCTCTTCTCTCGGCAGAGTGAGAGTGAGAATAATGTCGTCTCGAATGATGTCGAGCGCGGCCGTGTCGCGTGCGAAAATTCCGCAACGTTACGATGCGTACGGTGATGTGTCAGCGGTGCGTGTATTTTATTCCAGACTTCAGCGGCAATGTGTTCAGCAGGGCGTACTGGGCTTCCGAACTCATGGATCTACCGTTCTTGGGCATGCCACTCGACGCGTGTACGTCCACTGTTTGTCCGGTCCAGCCCGGTCAGAGGCAAACATATTCAGTAGTATTGCCAATATCAAAGAAATTCCCTACGGTGAGTGACGACCCTCGGCGTCCACTTTAATTTGGCCCCTATAATTCTATCAAGATATGATTCCTTCTTCTCTCACGTTGCATCGATAATAATGAACGTTCGATGTTACACACTCCCCCCTCCCCCCCCCCATCTCGTCGCGTCTGTCTGTCGTTTTTTGCATTACCGCATTCAGATAACGTCGCGTTTTTATTCAGACTTTGCACTCGCGTGTGAACGCAAAGTTTTTCACGTCGAGACACGACTTTGAATATCTTCGGATCGAAGGAGAGACAAGTAGGGGCTACAAGAAAATCATTATAGATGCAAGGCATATACATATATTAAAATGAATGACGTAACAATAAATATATAAGGATAAACCAAGGACAAATGTAGGACGATGCAAACGCGGAGCGGTTTGCAAAGTGCACTTAATTTATGCTAAGGCAAATTGCGACCTTACAGTATCATGAACACGAATCGTAACATGAAATGCTTTTCTTTTATTGCAGCGAAAGTACGATCTCAAGTGGAAGTTGTGGAACGAGCAGGAGAACAGTTGCTGTTTCATGTTGGCCATTAAATTGCTGAAGTGACACTGTTGTTCTTAAATCCAACGCACGTCATTCTTCGCGATGATTATAATTCGCTGATCGATAATTTAACTAAATAAACGATGTATATTCATATTGATAATGCTGTCTCCCCCTTTTCTCTCTCTCTCTCTCTCTCTCTCTCTCTCTCTCTCTCTCTCTCTGTCTCTCTGTTACGGATTCAGACACGCCAAGCTAAATTACCTACTTTGGAAGGATCGAACTCATTATCTCGCGAGTCGCGTTCATCGCGAGGCGATGCGTATGTAGAAGAATGCACGCGCACGATCAAGAACAATAGAAAAGACGCCACGCGTTCAGTGGCTAACAGTGAGCAGCATGTCGTACTGGGCTTTTGAATCCAGGGATATGGAATTTTTGTGGTGTCGAAAATTCAACGGGTGTACCGTCCACCGTTTGTCCGGTCCAGGCCGGCCGAAAGCAAACATATTCAGTCGATGTATCGCCGATGTGGAAGATTTCCCACTTGGTGAGTGACGGCCCTCGGTGTTTATTTTAATTGGGCCCTCATAATTTTATCACGATATGATTCCTTCTGTCTCACGTTACATTTACAATAATGGACGTTTAGTGTCACACACCCCCATCTCGTCGCGTCTCTGTCTTTCACTTTTTACTTTGCCGCGTTCAGGTAACGTAGCGTTTTCATTCATTTTATTTGCGTTCGCGCGTGAACGCAGTTTTTCACATCACGAAACACGTTTGAAGATTTTCGGGCCGAAGAAGAGATGTAGAGGGACAAGAAAACAATTGTAGATGCGAGACATATACATATATTAAAATGAATGATATAACAATAAATATGTAGGGATAAACTGTGGACAAATTGACGATTGCACGCGAAGCGGTTTGCAAAGACATGCGCACTTAATTTGTGCTAAGGCAAATTGCGACTTTATCATGAATCGTAATATGAAACTCTTTCCTTTTATTGCAGCGAACGTATCTTGTCAGATATAAAATGTGGAACAAGCAGCAAGAAGTGCTCTGCTGTTTCATGTTTGAAATGAAATTACTTGATTGACACTGTTGTTCTTAAATCCAGCGCGCGTCGTTCTTCGCGATGATTATAATTCGCTGATCGATAATTTAACTAAATAAACGGTGTATATTCATATTGATAATGCTGCCTCCCCCTCCCCTCCCCCCTCTCTCTCTCTCTCTCTCATTATTCCCGCCTGCATTATCGCATCGTGTACGTGATAAATTTTCATCGACTAATAATTAGCAAACAGCGCTCGCTAAGAGTGTGTAATAAATTAAACAATGACGACATTAATTTTCACACCGGCGGCTCGCGGAAGCACTCTGTGGAAGGAGCTTTTCACTTTGCGTTTACATCACCCTTACTGTTGTCTTTCTCTTTCTCTCTCTCTCTCTCTCTCTCTCTCTCTCTCTCTCTTCCTCCAAATTATTTTCTTATATGCGTCATAACCAGGACCTGTCTTAAAGCGGATCAAGGAGGGAAGAAACGTCAAATGTCGATGATCCTTGCAATACAATATGATATGATGCGATTGTTTCTGTGGAGCGTAAACAGCGATTCGCTATAACTGCTAAACATCGCGCGATACGTAAGCGGGAATACGTTATCCCTTCTCGCGCGTTTCAAAGCAAATCCATTTTTATGCCGGTCTCACCGAGACTCCGAATGTTTCAAGCGGTAAGTGTCCATGTTCGAAGTAAAGAACGTCACGAGTAAACGAGTAAATTGCCGTAAATTGATTGTCGTCTGTGCGGCATTTGCGAGATGCTTCATCTACGCGAATCCATTGGAACTTTGCAAAAATACTCTATCCAAACACATCGAGGCCACTACATCATTATGATACAAACGAACATTGGGATAATTAGAAGAAAGATTATTATTTATGCACCGGGAATGTGTGTAATTGATTTCGTGTGTATCGCATATATTACGATCCACAAACGCACACACAGTGTAAACGAAATTTTCCCATGACAACACGTGAGTCATAACTCTATCTGCCAAGGTAATAAATAAAATGACGTGACATCATCATTCACCCCCGTCTACTTTCCATTAAGCGAGAACTGCTTAGTTTCTGAATAATGTCTGAATAATGTTTCCCGTTTTACGTCGAACAAGACATACGACAGCTTCCTGGAAAAGCTGCGTCTACCAATTTGTCGATAAATATTAACTTTTAATTAAGCCGCGAAGTGGCAAGTCGTAACTTTAATGACGCAGCAAACTGGCAAAAATGTAATTTGTAAAGGCAGCTTTGACGCTACAAGATCCGCATGCGAGGCATTCTTGACGAACGTAACACAAGAGTTCGACGATCGTTCGCGCGGCCACGCTGATGACACACGCGAGCAATGCGGAGACCCACATCGTGGCGCGGCCCCAGATGGCCAATCAAAGACGAGCCCGCTAGAAAAATAATTGGCCACAATTGTTAAATTGTGCATTTCCTGATAAAAGTGGCCGGCCCGTCCGGAAGACAGTCCCGCCGTCTCAATTCTGTTGAAATTTACAATTCGCGCCAATCGGCCGCGCGAGACGCTTTTTACTCCCGCTACAGATACGGTCGCTTCAATTCCCTCGCCGACGCGGCCAAAAGAGAATATGGGTCACGTAACCGAGAAAGAAAAACAAGAGGGCCCCTTTTCTTCCACCGACCAAGTCGATCAAGTTTACCGATAACGCGCGCGCGCGCGCGCTCGCTCGAAGCGAATTGTTCTTATCCGGTCAATTTTAATTAGACAATTGTCCCTCTTCAATCGCGCGGCCGATCCTTATAAATTCGGCGGCCGGAAGGAGAACCGACGCTATCGACGCTATTAGGATAGATGAGCATAAGAGATAGATGGTTAATTGCTAATTTTGTTAATGTATGCTAGGCGTCAGCGTTGATCGATCAGTTGTGAATCCTCTTCCTGATGCACAAAAACACTGTTGTTGTGAATAAATAAATGTTTCACACGATACGTGATCAACTACGTTTCACGCGATATACGCATCTTTGTGCGAACTCTCCAAGGGGGAAATCATTTTTATCAAGGTTAGAGATCAAGGGCAGTCTACTCAGCGAGAAATAGCGAGCAATGGACGTCGGATCGATGTATATATATATATATACATAATATATATTCGACTATCATTTTTCCCTAAGTACCCAACATTAAATGCCAAACATTTAGTGCCAATGCCGTCGTCTCGAGCGAGAGGGAACCTATGCCTATGTTTCTGCACTTTCTTCGTGTTTTACTAACCCATCTTCGTTTTCTCTCTTTAATAAACAATGTTTTCCCATAGGGCTTTTTCCTGTATTTTTTCTGCCACTTCTCAACCTTCTCTCCAATGTTGTCTTTTTAGTATTTCGTTATTATATTGGCGTCCATGAATGCTTTTTTTTTTCTTCACAAAAATTCTTCCGTACTTTGAACATTATCCTCTACTGAGTGTGTTAATATGTCGTCGATCATTTATCGCAATAATACAGATGTGTTCTACAGTGATTTCTAATTGAAAAAACTATGCCCATCTATCCCTATTCAGGACTTAGCCTATTTCGTGCCGCTCCGCACGCTGTGCACGGCCGCACGCGGCCGCGGCGCCTGCGGTAATTGCGTTTGCGGCTTGCGCTGGGCGAATTAGGCCGTCGATCGGCGGGACGGTCAAATTAGAGACCTCGAAACACGCGGTTAATATTTATACACTCGCAGCCAACTCGGGATTTTGCCGCGGAATAATTTGATATTGGCGGTCGACTCAACTCTGCCTCGAAATTTTGGGGCTCTCCCGCCCGTTCTCGACTTAATTCCACAACGGCGTTTACAGAGGCGTCAGGATTACGAACGTCGAGTTTTTAATCGACGTGGAAATTGCCATCTTATTTCGCGTATCGAAGCAATGAGAAACTAACGACGATCCTCCACTTGGAGGTCGGGGGACTCCGAGAGGGGACTTTAGAAAATTCAGGCGTTTAAAGCCAAGTGGGATTCAGCGGAAGCTGCAATTTAAGTAGAATCAAGAAATGCCGGCGCGGCTGTTGAAAGTTCAAAGCACCAGAGCAGACGTTGAATTTGAAGACCGATCGAGAGAAATCGAGGATCGAAGGAAGGATCGAAGAGTCGCGACTCTCGGACGAATCCGCTACTCGACGTTCTCGTTGTTGTCGTTTCGTTGTCGTTGTGTCGCCGATAGTCAGTTATCAGCGAGAGAATTGTCGCCACCTCGACGAAAACATGTCGAAAACACGGAGTCGATCGCGTTGAGTCGCGGCGCGATAAGTCGCGACTCAGCGTCTCTCGCTCGCTCGGCGTGCTCGAGTCGGGAGGAATCCGGGCGATCATTAACGCGGCTTAGCATTAGTAACGGAGAGCATCTCTGAAATTTCAACGAGGCGGCCGTGCCGCGGGCGCAGGAATTAACGACGATCATCGCGACGTTTAAGCTTGATAAACGTCGTCGTCGTCGTCGTCGTCGCCGCCGCCGCCGCGCAGCTCTCGACAATTAAAAACCCCGCGCGCACGAGGAGGCACTTCCGTGCCTCGTTATGATCGATTTAAGATAAGATTAGGATGAAGCGTGAGCGAAATAATTATCATACGAAGATGCGCGCGCGCAGCTCCTCGCCGTCGGCCGCGCCGCCCGCGCCGGTATGGCTCGAGTACGGGCACGGCCCGAGGTCAGGGGCCATAATAAGAGATCACTTGGTACGCCGTAACGTACGTTGTAACAGTTAATACGCGATTATTCAATTGAACAAGGCGGTCGGAGCTTCACGAAGGAGCTCTCGGCCGCGGCAGAAAGTTCAGGAAACGCGTCGCGTAAACTCCGCGCCGCGCCGCGCCGCGCGACGAGTCGGACATCCGAGACGCGGCGGCCGCTCGTCTTTCCCCAGGCGAGTCCAATATCGGCCGAGAGAATACCGAGATAATGTCGCCGACGCTATCGCATTTATCGCAGCGTTCGATCGGGGGAAGGGGGAGGGGAGGAAACGGTGAGATGGGAACTTGCAGAATCGATGGACTCGCGTCGCTTTCGCAACGAGCGATATTCGCACATGAATGCGAATCGAGAGGGCGGCCAAGTGGACGGAGTTTTCGGCGATTCTTGGCCAATTGAGCTTGGATGGAGCTGAAAGGGCTCGTGGCGAGCGATTTGGTGGTGGGTCGCGTAGCTCTCGGCGCTACGCTCTCACCGGCGCAAAGTAAACCCCGCAATGTTTTATCCTGCAATCGTTTATTAAATACAAGATTTAACAAAATAATAATAATTATTATTATTATCATAATATTGTAATAATATCAATACAAATATTAAAAATTAGAAAAATAATAATAATAATAATAACATTCGTAGAAATAGTTGACTGTACAATGTGATCGGATCGATGTCGACGGAGAGGGGGAAAGCGGAAATGAGAGAGTAGCGACACGCTAGAGCACCGGGGCTGCGAGTGATCCACTTTATATCAATTATTCCTAGAGAAATATTCATCGGGGCTAATTGCTGGAGGTTGAACGCGCGCACCGCGTTGAGTTTACCAACGATACGTTATTCATACATAGATATCAACTAATAACCTCGCTGTAACCTCGTTTACAGACTACGTGTTCTCGTGGTGAGAGTACACGACGCTTCAATTGCGCTCCAGCGCTCGCCGGGCTGAAAGTAACCGCTATAGTTTACTCCAGACGTCCAGACGTCGCGTCTACGCGTTCGACACGCGTTCGACGTGCCGTTTCATATTATATATCCTGTCGCATTTCCAAACGCAACGAGCACGACCGCTGGCAAGAGCGACTGGATGAGCTTTTTGGCCTGGCAAATGTTGAGGCTTTATCGAAGCTTGGTGTGCAGAGTGTGAGTTATTATTCGAGTACCAAAGTGGCGTGTCTTCTCGCTCGCGTGACCCGCGATCACACACGAGCAGCGATTGTCGTTGTCGTTGTCGTCGCGACAAGGGAACAGGTATCGATTCTTTGGTATCGACATTACACGGCGCATGCTGCCATGCGACCGAAATTTGGAGTCACAATAATATAAAGCGAGAACGGGACGATATACGCGGAGAGGAAGAGAGAGAGAGAGAGAGAGAGAGAGAGAGAGAGAGAGAGAGGGAGAGAGAGGGAGAGAGAGAGAGAGAGAGAGAGAGAGAGAGAGAGAGAGAGAGAGAGAGAGAGAGAGAGGCGTCGCTATTTCGTAACATCAGGCGCGTAATTATTAGCATAATTATAATTATAACTTTCCTAACATCATGTTCCGTGTTTCAGCCGCCTGCACCAATTTTGCGGTAGAACGCAAAACGCTTCGGATCGGTTCCGATTGCGCGAGACCCAAGCAGAGAGATCACACGACATCTCCGCATTTCGTCACGACATCGAGGAGATCGCGCCGCAGAAGCGTAAATTGACGGTTACGCGAGTCGCTGGATTTACAGAGCGCTTCGCTCCGACGGGCTTTCAAGCGGAGATTTAGTTACCGAGACATCGAGGATATCGAGGGGGGACTCGACAAGCCATGACAAAGAAGAAGCGCCCACGGTGACTCTTTCCCCGATACTTGCCCCTCGAGGAGATTCTGACTTGAAATTTTCACCGAGTACATTCCAAAGTATTGTTTCCGTGGCGGTCTCAGACGGTCGGTATCCTTGTCGGCGCGAAGGAGTCCGTATCAGCTGGGATCTTGACGCGTTGTTTTCTCCTCGTTCTTTTCGCGAAACGCAAGGGATCCCGGCCGCAGCACTTGGACGACGTTCGTGCGTCTCTTTGGCAAAACATACCTTCGCGATTCGTCGTTTCCAGTGTGCTTTCTCAAGCCTCCGCTCAGGCCGATTTCATCGGCGCTACGAGTTATCATCGCCCGCGATGTATTTGCTGCGTTATTAGCGTTCAGTTCGTAATCTAAATCTACATACTAATCTTATCACTTAGCTAAAACTATGCGAGCGCGCTCGGTTTTCTCGCGTGTGTCACCGCTCTCTTTCTCTCTCTCTCTCTCTCTCTCTCTCTCTCTCTCTCTCTCTCTCTCTCTCTCTCTCTCTCTGTCTGTCTGTCTCTCCCGGCCGGATTTATCTTTGTATCTCCGCTCTCGTCTCTCCTCGCATAAATACAGTCGGACAAATAGGCGCACTGGAACTCGTGGGATTTACATTTTGATTGGTCACCCCTCCCTCCGGCCCCCTCTTGGATTGATGATACCTCCGGATTCCCACGACCTGCTTCCACGGGTCTTCCAGCCGAAGAAGCTAGCAGACCCTCCGAATCATTCTTATTCTTCTTTCATCGTCGTTTTCACACGCACGTACACGCACGTACGAGCGTCGCGGCGAACCGTCGAGCGTCGTTTCTGTGCGAACAAGCGTAATTAGCTGCGCGCTTCGTATTACGTCTCGTGTTCGCGAAAACACTGTCGCTGATTTGCGGCGCCGAGCCGCTTGAGCGGCGATCGCGAGCAAATAACGATGGTTCAAAGATGACGAAAAATGACATTCCGGAGCGACAAATGTCTGCATCCCATGGGGAAAGTCGCTCCGCGCGCGCGCGCGCGCGCGAGTTTCTCGCCACGCCGATCGACGAACAACGACTTTATGAACTGTCCGTGCCGAACGATCGATCATTCTGCCACGACGAGCCCGCCGGACAAAGCGGATCGCGACGAACCCGCCGACCAGAAGCCGTCGCGAAGTATTACAATCGCGCGTTTCCAGCGAGCTTAGCTCGCAGAACGTAGCCTCCCGGAGAGCGCGCAGCTATTGATTGTGCCAAGGAGAAAAAAGAGGTCGTCGTCTCTCGAACGAAGCCGGGCCGTGACGCGCCGTTTTCGGCCTGAAGGCTTTCTCTCGAGGAGGAGAGCGCTTTAATGGGCTCATCAGTCGACATCAGGGAAACAGGAATTCCGCGCGAGATCTTCGGTTCCTTGCGTATACTCTTCTGTTTCATCTGGATTTCTCTTACTGCCTCTCTCTCTCTCTCTCTCTCTCTCTCTCTCTCTCTCTCTCTCTCTCTCTCTCTCCCTCCCTCCCTTTTGTTCTTTCGTCGCGTCTCTTCTTTCCTCGAGTCCTCTTGCGCTCGCGCCCGAGCCGCCAAGCCAGCGTTCACGCCGTCCGTAGGATTTACACGACGTAAATCGGATCCTTGCATACCGAGATCCTCGCCTCCTGGAGGATTCTCAGTCTCGGGCCCAGGGGAACTCCCATCTTCTGTAGCCTCTCCTCGCTTAGGTAGGGCAGCTCCACCATCCCGACCTTTTCCTTCTCGAAAGCGGCAGCGTATTTCTGCGATTGTCAAAGGTGCCGACGGCCCAAGTTATTAAAAAAAGGTAAAGAGGAAGAGAAAGAGGGCGTAAAAGCGTAAGAGCGTAAAAGAGACGGATTATTTTGACGTGCACGCGCGTGCATTTCGCAGAAGACGGAAAGTGGCAGTCGTCCGCGAGATGGGGCGCGACGTAGGAATTAATAGCTGCCCTTACCTCATACCCAAGTTCCCTCAGGAACAGTCGGATGAGCGGTGGCTCCGTACCGAAAAACTTGGTCAATTTCTTCACCCTCGAGGGGTTGGAGAGGGCAGGCAGTTCCGAATCCTTGATCAGCGGCTGCGACTGCGATCTCACCATCGCCATGCTCGTCTGCGTCCTGAGGGCCGCAATCTCGCACTTTATGCTCTCCATTTCCTGCGAAAACCTAGCAGTAGTAGAGTCTTGGAAATTCCAGCTCGTTTCGCACCGTAACTTTGGGCGGGTTAGGTTCTCTCACCTGTATCATCAGATGTTGGGTCCTCATCTCCGAGCTTAGATGGGCCACCGATCTCGCCAACGTCACCACATGCGACTCCAGCCGCTGGAAGCGCTTGTTGATGCTCTGCACGATCGAGATTGTGCTTTATTGCGACGGCTCTTGCGGATCAGCCGCGATGACAATCTTAGATTCGGGATTCGGTTATATCGATCAAATCGCAAATCGGGTTCTCGAATGAAGCCTGTCGAACCGAGCGACGTCCGAATGGGGAGGGAGGGAGAGAGAGAGAGAGAGAGAGAGAGAGAGAGAGAGAGAGAGAGAGAGAGAGAGAGAGAGAGAGAGAGAGAGAGAGAGAGAGAGAGACGCGCACGAGAGAGATTGCGAAAGCCAACACGCCGGCGAGGCGTGTATGCATGGGAAATTTTTCATGAATAAAACGCGAACACGGGAGAAGATATCATCCATTAGCTTTTCTGACCTTGATGTCTTTGGCTTTCTTCATCCTGTCATCAATCACGTGGGATCTGCGTTTATCGTGATGCCTCGTGACAGGCCTGGAGGACACGGAGGACGTCGGCAATGACGAGACCGAGCCGTAACTGGTGAGTCCTCTCGCCTTTCGCCTCTTCTTCACGCTCCCGCCGAGCAATTTAAGCACCTGCGACAGTTTTTTGCGCATGCAAATTGTGGAGCGAATTCAATCACGTAGCTGCCGCGCGACGCAGCGTCTTCCGACGTACGCGCGATATTCCTGCTCGCTTTCGCTTCCCGGCTCCCGTTTCATCGCGTGCGCGCGCTCGTAGGTCGAGATATTAACAATCTGTCTGGTGCTTCCAAATTTCGGAGCGAAGCGGACGTCGTCGGCCGCTTCGTCCTTTCGTCATTATTTCGCGTCTATGAAATATTGGATTGTGTCACACAAGCGCGCGTATTTTGTAATAAGTAATATATGAAATAATTATCGCCAGCGATGCGGCAAGTTTGGCGACAAAGCATGTGCATGTTTTCTCTCTTATTCCAATTTTATTTAAAAGATACATAGATACTCCAGAATGAAATACATTTTAGTGAGGAAGGGAGGAAGGCATTTTAGCGCGTCCAGTAGAATATACGAGTTCTCCTCTCGGAAACAAAGCGGTGCTGTAAAATTGGCGGATTATTAGAAGAAGAAACACCGCGCTAACTTACTTCGCTGTACATATTTTCCAAGCCTTCCAACTGTTTCCTGATCGTTCTCGCGTCGGTGGTACTCATATCGGAGTCGCTTCTGTCCAACATAGAATCCAAATCGAGTCCTGTCGTGGTGGATGTCAAGTCGGCGGCTTCCACTCCGAAAACTGAAAATTTGCGTGAAACTTCAAAATCGATCGACACATCGCCCGGCTTGAGAACCCGGTTGTCAAGTTGTCGAGTTGTCAATTAAACCGCGATTAATTAACCCTTGAACATTAGGAACATGGCTGAAAATTCACCCGATATTTTTCAAGTAGATAGCAGCACAGCGGTGTCCTACTAGAATTTATAATGCTCATAAATATTTATAGCGCGTTTACATTCAAGAAATATAATAAAAAAATTATGGATGAAAATTCACCGGTCCTGTTAATCCTATTAGAAACGAGGTAAAAACATCACCTAGCGATCACCAACCCAGTTGGTACGATGTTAAATTACAATTACAATTTGTAGCGGCTCGTTTATGAGCGACATCGTGTACCTGTGCGTGAGCGTTACCGATCGAATTTTAAGAAGATACTCGCCCGCAAAACCGATACTCACGGTGTGAAAACTTCTTCGCGGCTTCCTTCTTGGAGGACGAAGCGCCACGGTGTTTAGCGCCGCTTGAGAAACCTCTCTTCTCCATAGCCTTGCTATAATCGCTGTAATTTGGTTTCGATCCATACGGTAAACTAAAATTTTCACGAAGACATTCTTATTAATCGACATCGAGTCATTGTCGCGCGCATCGCGCGGATAGCGATGAGAAAACGTTAAACCGTGTCGACGCGGAGTCGCGCGGGCGCGAGCGCGAAAGTATCAATGCGAAATCCAAATAACAAATTCCAAATTCACCGCCTCGCCGTGGTGAGGCGCCGTGTCGTCCGAGACCTGACAACATCAATCGCTGGAAAACGCCGGAGGAAAGATAACTCGTCTAATCTGTCGTGCCTCCTTACGGTTTAACGCGCAAAAACCGTCCGTCGTCTTTATGAACACATCGTAGTTAGCGGACGAAAATTTCGTAAGAAAACGCGAGCAATTACGCCGCGGAGCTCCGCGAGTCTCTCATGCGAGTGACATGTTTTTACGAATAATTGCACACTCAGGCGAATCGATTCTCCGTTTAATTAATATTTCACGCTGCACCGCCGCGCATCCAGCAGCGCCGCGAAACGGAGCGAAGCGGCGCTGCTTTATTTTTACCGCGGCGGCCGACGGCCGCCACTTTTCGGCCAGACACCGATATCGGAATTTCGATCTGTCAGCGAGAGAGGACAACAAAATCGGAAGTGGCTCGGCTCGGCTCGGGGCAGTGACCGGAAGTAACACCGGTTGCGCGAAGAAGAGGGACCTGTTTGTAGTCGGGTTACCTCGTTGAGTATCGATTTCTCGGCGTACGCGGACTGCCATGGGGTGACAGCGGCGGCAGAGGCGGTGTCACCGAGGACACGCTTTCGGATAAGGTGGAATGTGCCATCGCTGGAACGTCCCTGGGCTCCAGAATACTCCGTAACTCCGACTCCACTATGTCGACCCATTCGGAGTCTTGAACTGAGCGCGAAAGAGGGACATGAGCGTGCTGCTGAGTTTCACGGTCGCGGAGGGACCGATGAGCGGTCGATGCTAATAAATACGGACCGACAAGGAACAATAGCGGGGATATCTCGAGAAATGGAAAATCACCGTCTTTCTCGCGACGAGAGCAAGATACGATAGAGAGAGAGAGAGAGAGAGAGAGAGAGAGAGAGAGAGAGAGAGAGAGATTGCCTCGCGAAGGGACGGGAAAGTTACTACAGTCCGGAAGATGATGCGAGGTAAATTCGCAAGATTGAAAGAGAGAAACTCGCCGAAGAAGAAGTACAACTTCCTTCGGAATAGTAACTTCCAGGTCCCTTTGGAGCAACAAGAATCGCAGGAGAGAGGGGGCCTCCTTTAATTAGCCTTCCTTTACAAGACTATCCGAAAGCCCAACGGCGAAACGCCCGTTTCCATAGCCTCGACTCTCACCTTGCGCCAAGGTCTGATCGTCGGGCGGTGGGCGTCTTCCGCTTGAATAAACCGCGGAGCCCCTTCCGGAATCGACATTCGAGGAGCTCTGGCCCGTCTTGTCGTAATCCGAGCCCGAGCCTTGATTCTGAATTTTCAGCCGGCCGATACCCCGCTCCAAATCGTCTTTCCGGCTATCAGCTTTCACGGCGGTTTCCTTGCCGCCGTATTGTCCACCCTCCAGCCGCTTGGACGCCTCGCCGATCATCTTCGTGGCCAAGCCGATCCTCAGGCCATCCGCGTCCGTCTCCTTGGCGGACTTGGAGCCGAAATGACCGCCCTCCTGCTCCGCTCGCTTCTGCAGCTCCTCGATTCTCTTCTGCACGGAATTCCCCTCTACCAAGTCTTGACCTCCTCCTCCACCTCCGCCTCCGCCTCCGCCTGCCCCTTCTTGACCCGACGAGCTCTGCTCGTGCTCCCTCTTGGAGGTCCGCGTTTCATCCCTCCGGATGCCGAAGCTAGTTTCCGGACGGTACTCGTCGTTCCTTTGCGAGCCGTTTCTGCCGGTTTCATCCTGATTCCGATCCTCCACCGTGATCTCGTACCTAAAACATACACAGTTATCTCGCTTTGCAGAGATCCGCAGGGGTTAACGCGTCTCGGGTATCTCGTTTTGCGCGCGCGCGCGCGCGCGCGTGTGTGTTGAGGATAAATTTCTCGCAAGATAAATAGTTTCGGCGATACTTTAGAAGGAGAGAACGGCTTCTCTGTCCCCGAGCTGATAAAAAAGAACTCTTCCCTGGATGGAGCCTTGAACTGTCTGTAGACGGCTTAGACTTTCTGACCGTTCCCTCAGGCGTTCGTTACGGATCTGGGGAGGGAGGGGGGGGGATCCTCCTGAGGGAGGATCATGGCTAGACACGCTCGGTGTAATTGTCCCGAGATCCTACCTCTCCTTGTCCAGCGGGTCCACCGTGAGATTCTTCAGATTCTCCGCGGGGTTCTTGGAGGAGGCTTCGACGTTCCGCTCGTCCTCGTAGCAAAGCTGCGGCTGCGAGGCCGCCTTCTCGATACCCTTGGCGGAGTTCCGCCTCTGGAACTCGGCTTCCTGATTGCTCTCGGTCTTCATGTACACCTGGGGAATACCGTATCGCGGTCTGCCTTGAGCGTAGTGGTAGTAAACCTCCTGGCCGGAGACACGCAGCTCCTGCGTCTGCCTGGACGTGCTCGGTAGGTCGATCTGCGACCTCGACATGGCCTGCCTCGCCTGCTGGTACTGCTGATAAGAGACGCTGTTGGCGAAGTACGTTGGCTGCTGCACGCTCCGCGGGCCCGATGTTTGCGCGCCTTGCTGGCCGGTCATTTGTTGCTGATGCATCTGTTGGATCAGCTGACGCTGATGCATGTTCTGAGCGTGCTGCTGCGCGAACCGCGGGCTCTGGTGGTGGTTTTGGTTCTGATGAAGCAACTGCTGCGGGCTCTGGTAGCTCGAGCTCGTCGGCGGCATCGCGTTGCTCACCTGATGCTGCTGCACGGCGGAGAGGCCGTGGGCTTTTTGCACCTGCGTACCTTGACCCTGTGAAACCGTTCGAATGAGATGTTAACGGTGGCTGCAGTTGCGTCGACGAATCGTCGCTGCTGCCGCTCGGAGCGAGCAGCTCCGTTGAAATAATTTTTCTCAAAGTAGCGACAAAGTAATTCTTTTCTCCTTCAATGGGACACTCGGAGACCCCCGCCCGCGCCGCCGACATCTCGCTCGCTCGACTGCTCCACCCGCTTCTCTCGATGTTCAGACGTTACCCCTATTTCTCCGCTATTTCTCCGCTCTAACTGTTGCGCATCGCATCGCCGTTACGGTAGACAGCAATTTCCCCTCACGAGCGTGCTTGGTCGAATCGATTTTACGGAACCCCGCTCGTTAGATCCCCGCGAGTGCAACAATGCAGAAAGTGCTAAGGCGCGTGATTACGAGCATTACCGCTCGGCGTTGTTCGCCGAGCGAACGAACGCTACGTGCAACGCGACGTTACGTGCGTCCGTATCTGCATCGTCCGTCGTATCACCCGTCATTTAACAAATTAAAATGTCGACGGTCGCTAAACGCTAGCGATTAATCGCCGCGATCTACGGCGGACGGACTACCTTCGTGGGCTTTGTCACGCGCCATGTCGCGCTGTATCGCGTGAAATTTAGGCGAGCGTTGCACCGCCACGGAGTCGGCCGTGAATAAAAAGCAAGCGGTTGCGCGGACGCGGCTGCTTGTTGCTTGATTTGAATTTATATGAAGGAGATGTCGCACGGGAGGGGGGGGAGGGGAGGGGGCAAGCGCGCGACGCACGACTAGCCGTGAGACATTTATCTTTCCGCCCGGCTGCCGAGGGAGAGGTCTTTCTCTTCTCTCCACGCGATATTTCAGATATCCGCATTCACGTGAGAATGCCGAAAATGCACCGACCGCAGCGCGATACGCTTCGTCCGAGTACGTTGATAATGGAGCACGTCGGAGGGATCTCGATTGGTGCGAGCCGAGCCGAGACGAGCGCGTGAATCGCGGGAGCTCTTTCTCAGAATTTTTCTCAGAGATCTCGTGCATATCGTGCAGTCAGATATTTCGATACTGAAGAATCTCGCTTTGCTGTCGCGCGTACACACCTGTCCTTGCGCGGGATTCTGATGGATCCCTTGATGCATTTGCTGGCCGGTCATTCCGCCCGGTGTCTGAACCACGTACTCCCTCGTAACGTTTTGCACCTGCTGCCCACCTGCTGTCGTGGCTTGGCCGAAAGCGGTAACCTGGGTCTGATGAACCGTTTGAACTCCCGCCGGTGGAGTGTGGTGGGTCACGTGAAGCTGAGCGCTCTGTCCCGGCAGGTTCGGCTGAATGGTCGCGGTCGGCTGCAGTTGGCCTGGCAGAGGTACGTTTTGCTGGCCGCTTTGATAACCGTACGAGTGACCGTACTGACCTGAGCGCCGGAGAGGGAGGGAAAGAGAGAGAGAGAGAGAAAGCCCAGACGTTATTTCAGCTCATCATATTATTGCGCTAAGAGAACCTTCACCTTAGCACGCGCATTTGCGGAGAGTGCAGCGTTTATTTTTTTCTTTTTTTCTCTTCATCAAGTACACGTACGTACGTACGTACGCGCAATTATATTTCTCATTACTCTTGCGCTCTGTTGTTTGATCATTAATAGACAGGAGGAGAGGCAGTGTCGCCGCAGGTGCTCGATGAGAGAGAATGAGAGAGACGCTCGGTCGCGCGTCACAGATCGAAATTCTCTCTTCGCCGACGATGTGTGCAGCGACGGCACACGTTTGCGACGTAACGATTCCTAAACTCGCATTCCGACTGAACGTAAATGCAGTTGGCAGCGGCCGCGCACGCGCCACGTCCGCGTCGCGACTACCCGCGAAATTAAGCAAACACGCCGCGCGTTACACCGCGCGGCCGCTGCGCCGCCGGGCTCTGCGTTGCAGAAATGCCAAAGTGTCTGGCGTATATCGTACGATAATACGTGCGATATGCCATGCTGTTGATTATGAAGTTAATTAAACTCCGAGTTTCCCCTCTATTTGCGCGCGTCGACTTTCAGACGCGCGTTCTGCACAACGAGTCATTATAATTGCAGAAATTATACATAGCAACGCGGAAGAGCTGAAAGCGTCGCGAGCGCGCAAGTCGGGCAAGCGACAAACCGAGCGTTTCGCGCGTGATCATTGCCTCCACCTCGTCGTATACGTAAGTACGGCAATACTTGGCGGAAACGGTTGATTAATCCAAGCTATTGTTAGAACTGCGGCCGCAGTTCCTCTCCCCCTCCCTCCGTGCGAACGCACGACGTCACGTCATTTCGCTGGATGAAAATCGATAATTTTATTTAAAACGGACCTTTGCGCAAAAAGCGACGGACCTTTCGCGCCGGTCTAATAATAACTACCACTGTGCATTTTTTTCCTTCTCTCTTTCTCTCCCTCTCTCTCTCTCTCTCTCTCTCTCTCTCTCTCTCTCTCTCTCTCTGTTCCTGCAAAGCGTAATTCGCGCAAGATACCGCAGGGGAAGCCGTTGCGCTATGCGCGAGCGCACCGTTGCTTCGCACTCATCGCGATTCCGCGATTTAACGAGAGCGGGAAAATCCCGCTGCTCTTCCGTAATTAATCAACAATTATGAACTAATTAACGGAACATCGTTCGGCAGCGGTGCGCGAACACCGCGCTCGATTATCCGCGCGGCGGCGCTGAGCGCGCGCTTCCGCGACTTACCGTAAGCATTTTTCGGATATTGCTGCACGTTGACCGACGGCTCCTGCGCGCGGGGTTTCCCGTAGATCCCCTCTTTCTTCCTGGCCTCGTCGTCGTCAATGCTCCTGCTCGACTTTCGCAGCTCCTCGGTGACGTTGTTGAGACTCGCTTCCGGCTCCGGCTCTACGTCCTTGCGACTCGGCCCGAACCGACTCGAGATCATGTCCTTAATGGTGTGATAGGTCCTCGACAACGACTTGGTCTTCTCCTCGTCGATCTTCGTCGTCGGGACCGTCGTCGTCGTCGTCGTCGTCGTCGTCCTCGGCACCGCCCCGCTCGACGTCGATCTAATGAAAGCGTCGATCAGAAATTCTGATTCTGATTCGCTCGTTCTGATATGACTCGAGTAGTAATTAGGACGATATACGCGGCGTGCGATAGTGCGTATACTAAGACTGCTGCTAACGATCGGGAAGTGATCTGCTGCATTCAGTCTAGTGTCGGTTACACTACAATTACAGAGACGCACTGGAGGCAAATTTCCAAAGTCGATCACGACCCGTTCGCGTGCGTCTCGACGGCTGATTAAAAGACACCGAGGAGCGCTAAACTTTAGGGGCTAGTTATTCGGAGAAAAAACGAGCTTTTGGTTCAGTCGTGGTTTAACGTGGTATATAATAATAACGACATTTGTACTTCCCAGGACTTGTACATCCCAGGATTGTATACCGCGAAACAATCACTCTAATGTTTCTGCAAGATTCCCCGAGTTCTTTCAAAAGTCTCGTTTACCTTAAAACAAACTCGAAATTTTGTTCGGCGTATACGGCGATTTATAATGCTGCTTCAACACGTCAAACGGTCGCATCTGTATCCCATCTATCTTCCGATTTTTACTCAGACATTTGTATTTGCAGCTGTGTTTCATTCGCTACCGACGAATACTGACGAAATTTTACGCCTGAAATATCCACGCGCGTCAGGTTGTTGATCTGACGATCGCTATCGCATACTTACGAGTAAGTGTCCTGTGACTGATAGCCCCTCGCTTGGCCGTCCTGCCTTATTTCCTGCATCTGAGTTCCCTGTGAGAGCACAGAAGAAAAAATAAAGATCGTACGAGCGTCAACAGCAACAAGCGCACGTCGTTACGTGAAAGAACATCGCGTTCCTGAAATATTCCTCGTAGAGGCATAAATGATGGGGCGTATAACGTCCATAAATTCGCTAACTTCGCAACAGCGGTTTCGTTAGACGCGACCAATTAAGCCGTCAAACGAGGAATACATAATTACTTATCGGCGTGTAGCGTGGCTAAAAGGACAACCGCGGTGTCGGAAAGTGGCGCTTACCGGCCACGTGGAAGCAGCCACCTCGCGCTTCCATGTTCGCCGATTAAAACGGCCGAGCGGCGAGAGCAGTCGGGATCTAATTAAATAAACTTACGTCCGCCCGCCCTCTCCCGCTGCGCTGGCGAATCGACGTATCAGATGATTTGCGCGGCAGGCGCATATTAATAATCCCTCTACACGCGTAATATGCGTCTGTAGTTACGAGTAACTTCGCGCTGTTAGCGAACACTTGGAGGAAAGTTTGGCGCGCAGTTCGCGTGCCAAAAAGCAGCGAGGGAAGCGTGTGAAACTCTCGCGATAAGCGATCGACGAGCGAATTAGTGCGCTACGGTGAGAGGGACGGAGACACCGAGACGAGTCACTCCAAATATATCGCGCGCTGCGTTTTTTTCGTCGAGTTACGGAAGTGAACGGTTCCGCGCAAACGAAGATCGCCGCTTCGGATTCGAGCTTTCGGCTCGCGCATATTTCTTCTGTCGTTTTCGTGTTATTTTTAATTCGCCAGATTTTTATCACCGTAGAGAAATGGATATACGCGTACAGGCGTATAACGTTTGCTGCTTCTGTTATTGGAAAATCGCTACGTTATCAGCGTATGCGTATGCGTGTTGTTTGCCGCAAGAGATCCGCCGAAAGAGATTTTCCTCCCCTCCCTCCCCCGCCCCACCGACAAGCGCAAAGCCGCGCGGTCGACGCGCACTTATGACATAAGCAGTATCCCAAACTCGTCCAACTCTCAACGAGCGGAACTCATCTAAAGTTTGCTCGCGAAACGTACTTTCGCCGTGGATCGTTTAATAAAAGCGAGGGACTTTGGAGAAATAAAGCCCCCCCGCGACTCTGACGCTCGTTGTTTCACGGCCCAGCTGCGGAAGATTATGTCGACTCCAATCTCTCCGGATACTCTCCGCCATATTAATGTACCTGTATGATTAATAACATATAATGCGTACCGAGATGAAACACGAATTTATAAATTTCCGATATACAATTAATACGTCATTTCACGGGCGAGCGAGCCCGTTTAATCGTTACGCAAAACGACGGGGACGCTCGAATTGCGCTTTGCGACAGATCACACGCCGCGCTCGCTGCGAACGAACGGATCAGGACGGACGTTCCGCGAGAGGTTTGTGCGCACGAGAAGATGCCTGCGGAGATGTCGCAGCGGGGACGAGATTTACAAGGAAGCAAATCGCGCGTCTCGGATGAAATTCGCCGGGAGTCGGCTGCACCGATCCCTGGCGAAATAGCCGGAATTTCACGGGACTCGGCAGGCAGGCAGGCAGGCAGGCGAGCGGCGGCATTGAGTCACGGGGAATTTGACCGTTCGACGGAGAGCGGGCACAAACTGAATTAACCGCCGTAAAAGTATGCGTTATAATAATCACATTCCGGAGAACAGCGCCGTTAGATGAACACACGCTATCGATGACGAGAGAGGCTCGTGTGACGTGTGACGTGTGAGGCGCGAAATTATAATGATTTTACGACGACGTGTCGCAACGCGAGCGCGACGCGTCGTCGGCGACTCGCGGCCCTAACCGGCTCGGCTGTGTAACAGTTGACCGACGGTGGTCGTAAAATAAAGCGATCGGCTATCGGCTTTCCAGGATCGAATACGATTCCCTTGGAAGGAGGACATGGGATCACGGCGCTTACAGCCGTGAGCGCGTGCACGTGTGCGTGTACGTGTATGTGCGTGTGCATGTGTGCACCTCGGAGCGCGACACGGAGAATTTCAAAGTTCACGCACTGAATCCTACGGTTCTTAGGAAGAGATGCGCCTGGAATAACAACGGCCACGTAGGGCGGCCCGCGAGCGGCGCATCGTGCATACGGAAGTGGCTGTCTGACTTATGGCCGTGTCGATACCGTGCCGGATTACCGTAGCCGTACGAGAGAGAGAGAGAGATTAGAAGGAAATTTCACGTGCGGGAGATTGCGCTCGTGGAAAAATCACGCATGACCCCTGACGGTGACGCGTATGCGTACGGCTCTGACGCTCTCCTTTTTGTCTCCTTTTCCTACACGAGAGGAAGCGAAGAAGAATTCTCTGCGCGCACAGCGGGTCGGACGTTTCGTGAAGTCGCCCGGAACGGAAATGGCTACGAATTGCCATTTGAATGGGATTTACATTTTCCATACGCTTCTGCGAGCGAACTCTTCAATTCGCGACAGTTTGACACGTCGGCGAAACTTCCATGGCGAGAGCGCCGAGTTCTAAAGGACGGATTGAAGCGAAAGGGTGTACGGCTGGCGCGCTGAAAAGGGAGAACAAGAGGCGGCGAAAGCGCAGCGCGCCTTCCACGAAAGTGGGAAAAAATTTACTTATCGAGTCCTTGTGTCGAGTTAGCTGCGCTAAGGTAGTTTCCGGAGAACGCTGGAAATGGGTTTACGAGCTACGTGGGACGCCTCTCTCTCTCTCTCTCTCTCTCTCTCTCTCTGCTCCGCTCGCTCTTTTCTGTTTCTCAGCCGGCGCGACGCGTCGCCGGGGGTCACGTCCGAGGCTGATTAAGCGTCGTCTCGCACGATCGCGCGTATTATGCAAAGTAGATTTGAGTAATTCGAAAGGCTACACAAAAGTTGGTCATCCGGCATGTGTTGTCGCGCGTGGTGTTCGTCTGCCACGTGCGAAATCGCCGTGGATTCCCCGAGAAGAGCTTCTGCTCTTCGTCTTCACCTGCGACTCCAGTCGGAACTCCAGCGACGGAACAACGTTGCAAAGACACGCTGTTGCAGCGAGAAAATGAAACGGAAGCGAGAACGATAACATCGAACTCTGACGTACGCGAGAGGACGTTCGCGCGTCAGAGTGAAATCGCCAAAACGGGAAAATTTATGGCATCCTGTACGACGCTGAAGAAGTTTTGACGAACTTTCGGAAAGAAATGGACGTCGGGATAATGGATTCTTGCGTTGAGGCGATCTGGCGAAAGTTTAGTAATGAATAGATCGGTCCATTCCGAAGACCAGCGCGATATCGAGAGAGATAAGGGAGAGAGGGAGGGAAGGAGGGAGGGGAAACGCGAATTTCTCGCGTCGTTGGTACGGTGGTTGGCGCGATTCGCGCGAGGACCGCGGTGAAGTTTCTAAACGGATCGCTCGAAGTACCCATAAACGGACCACCATTGTGGGATCAATGGCGTGGCCGGTGACTACCCCACGACCGGTAACTATACAATTTAGCCTGCGCGATCTCGTAAACTGAGAGATAGACAGAGGGAGAGAGGGGGAGAGGAAGAGCGAGAGAGAGAGAGAGAGAGAGAGAGAGAGAGAGCGATTCACGGCACACTCGGAGTATATTATAGACGTAACTGTTAAAGCTCTGTTGCTCTTGCGATACGCGGACCCATCAATATCGTATACGGCGAGATTGCGCGCGTACGATCGCGGTGACGTCTATTTCTCACGGTCCGTCGTTAACGCGCACCTCACCGGGAAATGACAGCGGAGGATTATAATTTACGTCGCGCGGCGCGGCCGTGGAGCCGTCGGGCGGACGGTCTAATACCGACTTGAAAGCGCGTTAGAATAGATCGGGCCGATCTGAGCGAACGGGGCGGACTGACCGGTTAAACCATCGAAGGCTGCCATGGGTGAAATTTCACTCCATGCGAATTTTTGATCTTGTTAAAAAAACGTAACCACACTGACATCATTGATTTTACAGGCATTTATTTACACTATTTATCAGTAGCGACAACATTATGACAAAATAGATCAATTCTCGCACATAAACATGAAAGCGTTTGCTATAAACATAAAAGCAAAAGTTAATTTGGGGTGATATTTGACGGTGGCCTTTTAAGGGTTAATTGCGCGTGAAAATCGTCAAGGACGCGATTGAGGTATTGCCGGCGGCGATGCGAATCCTCGCGAAGAATCGTATCGGGGGACGGGAGGAAAGCGAGGCGGTGGCAAGGGTGAGACGCTGCGGATGCGAGCGCCACGTCGAAACGGAGAGAGGTCGTCCGCTAAAAAGGAAAATGGGGACAGGCACGGTGAACAAAAAGAGGACGCGCGTATATCAACTTACGATCGGGCATCGTTTTCCACACCCATCCTCCGAGGGTATCGATACAGAGTATCGGCGGTCGGAGAAGAAAGAAAAGAAGAAAAAAACGCCTGGCGGCACACGCGCGCGCGTTGCCGACGCCTACCGACGCCGCCTGCAGCGCCGGCGGCGTACGCGTGGGTGGCCGTGTGCATAACGCCGCGTATACGTGACGCCCGATTAATCGCGGGATTTCGTAACGATCGCGCCGCACGACCGTGCAGTCGCGTTGCCGAGATGAGAGAGAGAGAGAGAGAGAGAGAGAGAGAGGGGGGAGAGAGAGAGAGAGAGAGAGACGAAAGATCCGTCTCACTGCGACCACGTCGAGCGTGAGTGTCCTTTGTGAATTCGGAATCGCCCCGCGTCGACTCGTTGTCATTTTTCCTCCCTCTGGCTTTATCCCTTCTGCTTTCTTTTCCGGCTGCTTGGATGTTTTGTGCGATCTTTGTCCGCGGGGAACCGCGCCTCAGCCGACAGCTGACATTTTGCATTTTGATCGAATGTTTGAGATCCAGCGTTCACTTTGTGCCACACTTTAAACAATGAGCGAGCGAAAACTGGCATGCTCCCTCCGTTATGCTATGTAACGGCTGTCGCCCGGAGGGGGAGAGTCAGAGCGGAGAATCAGCGCGAGTCACCTCACGGGTCCCTCACGGGTAAATTATCGCGGAGGATCGGACTCACCTCCTGAACCCAGGCCTGTTGCTTGATCGGCGCATCCGGCGCGATGGCGACTCTTCCGGCGGTCCTCTGTTTGTACTCGTGAAGAATGGGAATCTTGGAGTTCTTGTCCGCCGACGACAGTACCAACTCGCGTTCTATCTGCAAACGGAAGAGGTTTATCGTTCGCCAGAAGCAGTGATTTTTTTTTTAAACGCGTCATCTCGCGGCTCCTCGTAAACGCGTTGCGTGCGTTCGGTCAGCGATCACTCGTCGAAGTCGAAGAGGCGATAGCAGCGCTTGTCAAACGAAGCGGGGAACGAAATTATCCTCAATCTCGAAGGACTGATGATTTTCTTTTTTTACCAGTAATACAGATATCCTTTTAGACGTCAAACGACGACTCGCCCTACTTTCCTCTCAAAAAACTGACAAATCTCTCGTATCCGTCCGATAGCATTCGTACATCATCTTCATGTTCGTTCATCTTATCGTCGCGATCTTTCATCTCTCAACCTTCCATTCTCTCCCGGGCATTGGCAAAAAGTTTTTCAATATTTTTGTAAAATCGTTCGTCTCACGACGACAAGAGACCCCCGCTTGCGAGATCGCCGACTCGCAACTTCATTTCCACCAGCCCCGATTTCCTCCTCTCCAAATATGCAGTTTCCTGAAACCGCTGGTTTCCGCGAAACCAGCGCGCACCGGCCGGCGCAAATGAATTCTCCTCTCAGCTCACGCGCAACCGAGCGTGCTCTGAAAGGCGCTGTATGCACCTAGCTAAACAGAGCAAAAACAAACGGACGATCTATAGTCGGGCAGACGTCGGCCATCGCCGGGAAATTTTCCGCGGAGGAGCTTCCTCGGTCCGCGCGTCCACGCCAGGTAGAACATCCGTGTCGAAGCGGGCTCGCACGCACGGCACGGCACGGCACGGCACGGCACCGCACGATGATACGCAAAGTGCGTGCGCGGCCGCAACCACCGACAGCGACGTGTGCGTTCGTTGCGTGCGCGTAATAACGCAGCGCGCGCAGAGTAGGTGTCACTGAACTAAACTGGCTGGCTGGCTGGCTGGCTGGCGATCTTACAGCGAGCCTGCCAACGACGCTAGGCATCGCGCTCGGAAGAAAGCAAGCGTGATGAAACGAGCTACTGCCGCGGAAAATAAATGCACGTAGGCAGCTAAGCCCCCTGCATAATCACGCTTGCGGATATATAAGCAAGCCCGCGCTTGCGTAGGTACGCGCAGATATCGCGCGAGGACTCTTTCTCGCTTTCTCGGAGCTCCTCCGAGGCCCTGCGCCCCGAAGCCCGCGAAAATCGGCAATACCGGCCTGGGGTAGGGACTACGTGCGGACGTCCCGTCCGCGCGAGAGGGAAATCCGCGAGCGAAATATTCCGAGGCCGCCGCGCCGCAGCCCTTCGCTCCTGCGGGCCTCCGCAGCGCGCGTGGCTGCTCTGAAAACTGATTAAAAGTCCGGAGACGCGTTGACAAAGCAGCAGGCTTGTTGTTGTTATTATTATTATTATTACTATTATTATTGTCATCATTGTTACTATTAATAAGCGTGTCTCTCTCCTCTTCTCACGAGTCTATATTCTGGAAATTCTGGGCATTCGCGCGAGAGCCCAGCCAATAGCCAATAGCTGGGACGCGAAAGAGCAGCAGGCGCACTTTAATTAACGCAAACCAACATACGGACGAGGGACTGATAACAAACGACGCGATTTGCATATTTAATATTTGACGATTCCGACCGTTTGCTCGCGAAGTTTTTGCCTTCCCCGACGCAGAGGGTGATGATCGAGCGCGCCGGATGCGCGTCGAAATCCGCGAGCTTTCCCGTCGGGATGAGCTTTACGAGTTACGCGAACGTAACACAGCGCGACTGTTAATTTTTCTTCCGCCACTTCGCGACTCTGGTTCGTCCTTTGTCGGCCTGCGGTCGAACGATCCAAACGTACCGAACGAGCACGTTTCTCATTTTCGCAAAGAAGAAAACAGAAAAGATAAACAAAGGCTGTTTTTAGCCGCATCGTCGGGGCAAACCGGCGGACGTGACGTGACGTCACGCGTCGGTGTGTACGCGCGCATACGCACCCGCGCGCGCGTGCACGTTGCGTCATAAAGCTGCAGATTATATAAAAAGCTCGAGCGGGCGCGCGACGATGTTTTGCGGAAGAAATAAAGCGTGCTAATGGGAACTCGGCGTCACGACGTACGAGCGCGTACGTACACGCGCGGTACGTCGGGGCGTGAGCGTCGCGCGCGAGTAAAAATACCGATCGATTCTCGCCTTCCCCTCCCTCCCTCCCTGCCTCCCCCGCCCGCGAAGGGGATAATACCAACGGCACCGGCGACGAACGGGCAGCGCGCGCTCGGATCACTGATATTGGATTCTCTCTCCTAACTGCGGCTTTTACGTCCGGCACTTAGGAGACATTGAATCTTTGATGAAAGATAGCCTCGCGCGCGTAACGGACTTGCGGCTCCTGCGGAGGACGATAATTTCAAACGCGGCGAACTGAATTATCGCGATTCGCGCGTGTCCTCTGGCTCGGTGGAGGAGCCTTGACTCGTACTCGGAGCGGGAGACAGGGGGGAGACGCTCCGCTTTTCTCCAGTCATTTCTCCAATGTAATCTCCCGAGTGCGAGTTCTTGTCCGCTTTGCCCCTTTCCAGGGATATCGCGGTGCATCTCGCATTACGGCCGGAAAACAACCCCCGAGCGATGCGTAATCATTCCGCGGCGACTCGCGCCGTGCTCGGAATTTTCCGCGTCTCGCGCGATTGAGTTTTCATCGCCGAGCGGAGAGCGACGGCGATGAAGCGCGGAGTCGGCTGCAATCGCTCTTTCTCTGTCAGAGGGAGGATTAATGCGTCGAGAGGCCTGCTCCGCAGGCTTTTGTGCCACGCGGCAATTAAAACGCTATAGATCGGGGGACGCGCGCGACAGCGTCCGGCGAAAAAGGGTTAATTAACGCTGACTCGCGCGCGCGCGCGTCGGATATTCGTTTCTGATCAATCGGCTTGACGGACGCGGCGGCGCTTTTAGAACTTTTGCCCTTCGATCGGCCGGGCGCACGGTACGCGCGTGTGAGTGCGTGCGTCTACGTCACGCGATTCAACGGCACCTCGACGGTAGCGGCGGCGGCGGCGGCGGCGGCGGCGGCGGCGGCGAGAATCGACGATGAAGGCGTTGGCGAAAATGACAAAGACGGCCGTTAAGGCGTTAATTCGCGCGCGGCAGTTCTATTCTCAGCCGGCGAGCAGCCGATTCGTGCGGAGAAATACGGTCTATCTAAACAGCTATCGCGCGAACGAGCCCCTCTTCTCCTCTCTTCCTCCCGCTGCTCCTCCCCTTTGCCGACTTCCGGCGAACGGTACGCGCCTCGCGGTATGATGCCCCCTTTGTCTCGACGGAGAACCTCTGAGAACCTTCCCAAGAACGTAACCGGCGCACAACGAACTATTACCGAAGATTTCACCGAGGACCGTGCGCGCTAATTCCTAACGCCGAACGCGGAAGATCAACGCGCGCCGTCGCGCGGTCGCGCCTTATTCGCGTGATTACGCGCCGAGCCGCGCGGCATTCCGCTAATTAGCCAGCACGATGACGAAAGCTCGGCTAACGAAAAGCGGCAGGATGATAAATCGCCGCGATAAGCAAGCGGATTCTGCTTCGGACCTTGCGAGCGGGATGAGATATTAAAAACAAATTACGCGCGTCGAGTGAAATGCTCGCTCGAGAATGATCGAAGAATCAGGATCCTTCGTTGACCGATGAGCAGCGAATCGAAATGTTTTCGAGTGATATCGAAGAGAATGACGGTGAGACGGATCATTCGGTGAACGCTTTAAGAGTTGTCGTCTTTTCAACCCGAGATATATCATTGTGTTGTTAATTGAAGCGAGGAGTGGATTCATTCTGTTTGAGAAGAAAGCGAGCGAATTTTCTCCTTGTTCCTTTTTGTGGCAAGAAACATCTCCGAGAAGGACGAAGCGCGAGAGGAATGAATGAAAGTCGCAGGGTCCTTATGCATAGTTAAAACTTTGCTACGCGAAAACGAGCGCTATCCGTCCGCGAGGCAGAGGTAGAATGAGAGAGAAATACCGTCCGCTCGTAGAGAAAGAAATTATTTATTTATTATTAGCACGGTTTACACACTGGAACTCGATCGTTTATCAGTGGAACTTTCACGTCGGCCTTTTGCGCGGTCGGAGGAATCCGAGAAATAAAATTCTACGCGAGCTTGGCCGCGGATAAAGCTAAAGTTATGCCTTGAATTCCGTGCCCGAGCTTCTTCTCATCGCACTCGACCGCGGCTGGTCGTCGCAAGAAGACGGACGCATCGACGAGCACGCATGAAGGAGTCTCCTTATTCGGAGGACCACCGCGCATTCTCGTCGCATCATCGACGCCGGCCGCCGCGGCGGTAATTGCGTGAAATCGCAAGCCGGGAAATCGCGTGTCGAGTTTCTGCGATTAACGAGCGCCGATCGCGCGCCGAGTGCGCCCGGTCGTGTCTATAAATAACATTTCGAGAGAAAGAAAGTCTGAATCGCCGTGTGTGTGGGTGTGTGTGTGTCGCGCGCGAATACACGAGGCGTCTGTGACGTGTGCGACTTCGGTTGCGACGGCTAACTCATTTGGCGAATTTCAGAAGTAATGGCTTCGCGCGAGAAGGACTGACAAGATTGTCGCTGTTCTCGAATTATTTCACAATTTATGTCGCACCGTGAGACCGCAAAAAGAAGTCATTTCGGAAGTAAACTTTTTTCTGGTGTCTCGTACAACTACACGTACGTATCGCAGTCGCACGTGGGATTAATGCGCTCGGTAGCTCGTTAATTAGTTCATCCGCGAGCACAACCGCGCGTACGAAGCGCGAGGATCCGGGCCCTGGGCCCGGTGAAATTGAAAAGTGACGACAATGAAAACGGTATCTTACCTTCCTCGAAAACCCTAACAAAACACGACACACAATGGCTGAAATATCGACAGAACGCTACGCGGTTTTCGCGTTGCACAAAAGAAGCAACCGCGCGGCCGAGGCAACGTATTAGCCACCGTCATTGTTGAAAAAATGTAGCAATATGCAAAAAGGTTGCATAAAACGAACGCAGCGGAAAGGAGGTCGCACATCGTAATGCGGATACCGGAGGCTGGAATTTGCGTAAAGCGAAAAGCACGGAGGATAAAAAAGGGCGTTTGCTCGGGGCGAGAAAGTATCTAAAGTCGGCACTGTCTGCATTATGCGCGCCGTAGAGTTATTTTTTTCCCTTTTTCGTCGCATTGTTCCTGGTACATACGGAGCGCCATGAAGCAAGCAAGGTGTTGCGCGCCCTCGCGGACGGATAATTAGTGACCTGCTCGTTGCAGCGAAGGTGCGCTCGCTCGAGTCAGTTCCAGCTCGGAAAGCCGAGCGCTGAACTTTCTACGCACGAACGAGGAATTTGAACCGGCTATTCAGCGTGTATCTGAGACTTCGGACGTTCCGCACGTGCACGTGAAATCGATTTTTGTATTTACACGACACGGTCGGGAAATCCGCGTGAAGCACACTCGCGGCGTCTGCACATTACCGTCTGCAAAATCGAACTCGTCCGAATGCGCGATCACCGCTTCGACTTATTCGCGAGCGTCTCGCGAAAGTCCATCCAGTTTTGCTCCACGTCTCTCGACGTCTCTCAATTCTCCTTGCGATTTATGAGGAGCAGAGTCCTCATAAATTTCTTTCGCGCGAAGAGAAGCGTGCTAGAGGGAGAGACGATTCGCCATCGCGTTCGCCATCGGGCCAATCGACGTTACACGTCGCCGCAGATGATGCATTTCCCTAGCAAAATACACACTCGTCCCGATCGCGGGACTAAAAGTTCGCGGAAGGAGAAAAGAGAGAATATCTCCGGAAAGATTAACGATATTGACGGCGAATTTCTCTCGCGAGACACCCCGCGAATAAAGTAAGTAAATAACGCCGTAATTTCGCCGGCCGTGTGCATTATCGCCGCGCTTACCGGGAACTTGCTGCTGTGAGTCTGCAAACTGGCCGCCTGTTGAGCCTGACTCGAACTCTGCTCCTCCCCCCCGTACAAGGGTGGCATCCTGTATTCCGGTGCGAAGGGCTGCCCGGCCGCGGCGCCCCGAATCTGCCCGTTCTCCGTGATGCCGCTTCTTTCCGGGCCGGAAGTCGTCCGCGTCGACCGCGACTCAGCTACCGCCTGCTCGTGCTCTTGCTGACCGTCCTGATTCTTCTGATTGTTCGGCACCGGCTTCGGCGGCGGCACTGGCTTGTAAGGCCCCTCTTCATCTACGAGACAGAGAAAACACGCGAGTTCACGCCATTATCACGCTCACGTTCGTCGCGTCGCGTCGCGTCGCGTCGCGTCGAGTTCGCTTTCCACGTTCGATGCGGTTCGGCGCGGTTCAAAGAAGCGCGGCGAAATCGGCCGACGCGATTGTCGCATGCTACGCCCGACTTTTTCGCGCGTATCGCCCGTCTGCGGCGGAATAAAGTCGCTGGTGAGGGGGGGGGGGGTGAGATAAATATTAATATATATTTAAATATTATTCATTCACCGCGCGCGCGCGTCACATGGCGCATCACGGACGGCGCTGCGTGTCTCACGAATATGTTAAACAACTTGTTCAAACGAAAGAGACGTATCGGCCAAATTGCTATGCATTATGCATAGCTATTATACACTAAACCTACGTCGAGGATGCGTCTTTCGCGTCCTTCCGCGCAAGAGCAACAGCAAGAAACATCCGTTCGCCGCGATGCAGCGAACGCAAGCGCAATGAGAGAGTTCGCCGCGACATTTACAGCGCGATTGTTTTGAAGCCTAATTAAGCTGTTCCTTCTTAAAGCGTGACTTCTCGATCGCTAATTTAGATCGTCGTCGGGCAAACGAAACGGGCGACGCTAATTTCTTCCTCGCCGCGCTCACTCGCGGATTTTACTCCCTACTTCGTAGCCGCGTAACAATATTTCCGACGCGATTACAGCGGAACGGCGCATAATAGCGCCGCTTATGGGTGCGCGTGGATATTGCATTATCAGCGTCATATTATTATATTCTTACGGCGTCCCGGCGGTGCCGCGTTAATCCTGCGAGAAGGTACATCCGTGCAACTAAGTCGTGACTCGCGTAGAGCCTCGCCGTGGCCGCGGGATAAGGATGTGTAAGTTACGTTACGGGCTGATCTGCGGATGGTGGCTCGTGATCATATGAGCCTCGAGCCGTCCATAGTTGTCCATTAGTGAGTCACAGCCAGTTAGTGTGCGTATGTACAACGCGTTTGTGTATACATATATGCATGTATCTATATATATATATATATATATATATATATTCTTTTTTGTATGCACCTTGGTTCTGATTCTGCCGTCTGAGACGATTCTCCTGCTTAACTTTGCGGACGGTGGTGGCCATCGCGTGTTGGCTGACCATTTCTGGACGAATGCTTTCATAAATGCACTTCGGGTCCGCTGTTCTCGCTGTCTCGAGAGACGATCCCACGAACGAGCTATCGATAGTGACGGGCCCCGATCTCGCCTCTGCGGCTCGACATGCGTGTCGCCTTCAGACGATACGTCGCGCTCCCCCTCTCTCGGTCATATCTTTGGCGTCTATTATCTATAATCGTCGCTCCGCTATGCAACACGGACTCTCTCTCTCTCTCTCTCGCTCTCTCTCTCTCTGTCGGGTCCGACAGACGGTGGAATATCACACGTGGTCGTAGCGAGAAACGTGATACGCGCTTGAGGGATTCGAGCAAGGACCACCCAAGAGAGAAGATGCTGATTTTTTGCTCGGATTAAAACTCCTTTCGTCGCGCATCAGGGACGTATTGTTCCTTTTACGCGAGCAAACGGATGAACGATAGATCAGCACGTTTGTCGCTGCCGCATGTTGCCGCGAATACTGAGAGCACACCGGATGCTATTACGAAGCTCGTCGTCGGTCTGTTTTTCATTGAGACGACGCTGTTTACGGACAGTAATTCTCTTTCGTGGGAGCCGGCTTGGCTCTTTCTCAAATCATCCGACACTTATCTCGGATTTTCACGTCACTCGGCTTTTCTCGTGATCCACGCGCTAATTGCAGATATAATCGCGGGACGATGACACGACGAATTGAGGAGAGGTGCGCGTGTCTCGGCTTCGCCGAGACGACTTCGGCGAAGAAATTGGGTTAATTAGCGTTCTTGGCGATGGACTTCCGTTCTCGTCACAGACGAGACCGTCTCGCGCGGCTCTTTTGTCTCGCCCACGCACATGGCATTTCTTCCCGAGGAGAGAGCCCTGTCGCGCGATGTTGTCACTTTCGCGCGAAAATGTATATTGTTCGGCACGGTGAAGACTACCGTGTCTGTTCTTCGCGCGCGGTTACCCGCGGAAGGAAAACGCGTCCGAGGATGTCGACTGTGGAAATAACTCTCCACTCTCTCGTGACGTTCTCTATTCGTCGGACGAGTTTGCGCTGACTAGCCTGAATTTTCAGCGTGTTCGCCACGACAAAAATACCGAGGGAGAAAAAGGAAGAAAACGGTAAACCTCCTTCTCCCCCTCCCCCCCCCGCCCTCCCGGGTGCCCCGGGTTCGATTTTTCAGATGAAAATCCGGATAATTTATCGCGAGTGCATCGCGCGTCTCAGAATTTTTGCGCAACGTCACCGAAATGGAAGTTGACGTGCGCGGTTTCTCCTCGCGAATTTATCGTCTCCTTTCTTCTTCTTCTTCTTCTTCTTCTTCTTCTTCTTCTTCTGCGTTCTCCTTCTCGCCGAGAGAAAACTTCTTCCTCGCCTTGGCTTAATGGCGAGTTTCCTTGCGCGTCTCTCGGCGGTTCTTGTAATATCCTCGATCCAATTTATTCAACCGCTGCCTTGATTACTCGACGATCCTATTTGCTGCTCCCCAAGACTTCCGCTGGTTCACAATAAAACGTACTTTATTTGCGACGATAATGCAAGCCGAAATGGATGTTCCTCTTGTGTGTGCTCTTCTTCCTTTTCCTCTACTTTTTGGCAATCTTCATTAAGTCACTTGTATATTTTCTTTCCGCTTGATCGATCTGTTAGCCACTTTCTCCCCGAACACGCCGTCAAAGTGGCTTCACCGGATTCTTCCGACCGGAGCGCAACTTTCGCGAGATGAACGCGATGAAAAGTCGATAAATACACGAAAAATTCTTCGGCGAAATTCAATCGACATTCACTCGTCGTTGCTCCGTCGAAACTGACACGGGGACGCGTTTAATTCGTGAACTTTCCTCATGAAATCTCACAAAATTCTTCCGTTCGGAGCGACGCCTGTCCACCTGTCGCTTCCTCGTGCTAGCTCACTTCGATCAAGCGTCTTCGTTCCCCGCGGTACTTTTTTATCGCACTAAATATCCAGCTATAAACTGAGCGTCGCAACACACTCTCGAAATCTCGATGCTTTCGTCACCCGATCAACTTTCCACGGAGCGTCGCGCACTCTCGTAGGTTCTTTCCGCGGGCGCGAGAAATCGACGCGAGTAGGTTCTTTCCGCGCGAGCTGCTCGCGTGCGTTCGCGCGAATGCCGGAGCGGGCGGGCGGGCGCGCGCGCGCGCGCGCGGCTTGTCCGAACGGAACGGATTTTCCTCGCGCGAAGAGAGTGCGAGCGACGTGCAGACTTGCAGACGCGTAGCCACCTAAGAACGGCCGTGCCGGAGGAGCTCAAACTTTCCATTGAGTGAACGTCTGGTTCCGCCGTTCTGACTTCACTTCCGGTATCGTCCCACCACGAGGAGTCATTATAGACGCCGGCGGCGGTGGGAGAGAGAGAACGAGGGAACGTGGCGGCGAGCGGAGAGGGATGAACGACGACAACGGGGAGTGATTGCCGGAGCGGGTGAATGAGACGGTTGAAGAGAAGAAGGAGAAGAAGAAGAAGAAGAAGAAGAAGAAGAAGAAGAAGAAGAAGAAGAAGAAGAGAGTAGAGAAACGGCGAGAGAGAGAGAGAGAGAGAGAGAGAGAGAGAGAGAGAGAGAGAGAAGGGGGAGGCAGAGAGGTCGCAGAAGGGACAAGACCGAGACTCGCACTCGGGATAATTTATTCCGTGCTCATACGCGGCCGGGCTCCGCGACGCGCGTCCGACGAATATCAAGCTGCTCGCTCCGTCGTTGCTACCGCCAGCGATCTCCCGATCGCCGATCGTTAGATCCGTAGCCTGGAGAAACGCATACACTCACGTCCGCGACGAATTTTCGTTTTTCGTCCTCGTCGTGATGGATCGCTCGTTTGGATCTTCGTACGTACGTACGCGCGCAGTCGTTCGTGTCGTCGCCACGCCGTGGTCGTCGCGCTTGCCGAGTGAACAACTATGTTACGCGATTCGATCGGTGATTGTGAATTACCCTGTTACTGTCCCTTCCGTCCCCCTTGCGATTTATACCAACGCTGGGCTGGGCGAAGAGAGGAAGGTGGTGATGTTGTACTCGTCACCCCCGCGTTACCGATCGCGAGATATGTGTGTGTCGTCGTCGTAGTCGTCGACGAGAGAGAGAGAGAGAGAGAGAGAGAGAGAGAGAGAGAGAGAGAGAGAGAGAGAGAGAGATATCGCGCGTACGCGCCGCGTACACCGCCGTGCCGCGGCCGCTTCCACAACGGTAGTTTTCTGTATGAAATCCGACGGGATCTAAAGTTTCTTAATCGGATGCTCCGCTATGGTCTAAGGATTAATAAGAGTTTGCGAGAGATTCTCTTATAATTCCTTCCGTGAGCTTAATAACTTGACGAAGTTACCCAGCGTAACGCAAGAAGTTACGCGGGAAGTTTAATCATTTCCGGACATATTTAACTCGATCACGACTCGTGACTTAATCCCGACGTGTCGAGAGACATCTGTTAATCTCCCGCTTGACAAGAATCGACGGTCGATCGGTCGATTCGACGGCGGCGGGCGGCCGCGGCGGTCCTCGAAAATCGGAATCAAACACGGACTCGCGGCGCGCGAATGCAATTTTCGTTCACTGGAATTTCACGGTAAACCGTAATTTGCGCTTACAAATGAGAATGTCGATACCGCGGGATTGAAGTTCTCGGCTCGGAGATACGCGGCTCGTCGATGTGCTGATTTATTAATCCCTTCGGTTCCCGCCACGTCGGAGCCCGCATGCAACGGCGGGGCCCGCGTCGCAATTACCAGCGACAATTTGACCGCGGGGTAACGTTGTATCCGTACCGGCATTACCGGATCGAATTAAGGCCCACGATTCGAGGAAGGAAAAGGAGGAAAGCCCGAACCCCACCGGCCACTTGCTGTACAGTTCGGCGAGATTTCTACCATCGGTAATAACACGCTGCTGCCGCGTCCCGGCAGCGCGAAAAAAGGAACACTAGATCGAAAGGCAGATCAGTGGCCGCCGATTGCGTAAAGAATCATTACCTCATGGGGGATGTGGGGCACGGCGCGGCGACGATAAGAGCAGCAAATCGAGCAGCTTCTCACAGTGACCGCGGAAAGTTAGCCGCGCGCGCGCGCGCGCTCCTCGTTCGTCGATTCGCTCGTTCAATTCGTACCTTCGATCGCGAGCGAGCGCGAGTCGATCCTTCGCGCCGTGCGAGACGCGCCTAACTCGTTTCCATCGCACCTTTGATTTATTTCTAATATACATCGGAATTAAGCAGATCTCACGGCCGCGATTCACGCTTTCCAATTAGAGATAAGGGATTTTAATTGGCGAGCTTCGCAACACCCACCGGTTTCTGTCACTCGTGCGAACGAGAGCCCAGCGTCCAGCGCGATTACCATCCGGGCGAAGAGTCATCCGAGTCGAGTATCGATGTAGACGCGAGATATTTATGCGGTGGCATGATTTATCGGCGTACCGTGTGCGGGGATGCGCGGAAAGTGTCAAAATAATTTCCGCTCGGCCTCGATGAAGAACCAACGCGATTATTATCGCGCTTTTAATCGAGCAGCCGATCAATCGATGGCAATACGTCTGGAATCTTGCTATTTTATTCGCGCTTGCTATTCCTTTTGGTTATCGCGATTGGCGGGGCTCTCTCGCCGGCGGGATTATTATCTTATTATTATCTTCTTTTTCAGCACACTCGCGTCGTATCAATCGGTGAACTCGCGGCTGCTCTTATCGGTAAAACGCGGGTTTCACTTACGCCCACCTGTCCATTTCGCCGGCCGGTCGATTCTAAAGCGCGTCTCTTTGAGCTTTCCCTGCGCATAAATTCTCGCTCGTTGCGCTCGCGCCCCGGGCTCTATAATTACGCGGGTTTTTGCACGCGCGACTCGCGCGGTACTGCCGCTACTTCCAAATACGGAACTCGGCATAGAGCTGTAAGAGCCGCGTGACATCGCGCACGCACGATCACCGCCGCGAGAATCGATTAACGATTCGCGAAGTCGATCGAGAGCCGTCGTCGTCGTCATCGTCGTCGTCGTCGTCGTCGTCCGCAGCCTAGAGCCAGCTATCGCGTACGCGTTTTAGTCGTTCCCTATTTCCTCGCCTCTTCCTTTTTCCGCCGGCGAACCCGTTCGACGGGCGATTCAGCGCCGCGAGTGCGGCCACGCCGATATCCACGTCCGATGCTTGTCGGTCCGGGATTTTTAACGAGTCACATATACTCGCTCGTACTTACCCTTTCGCGGCCGGCTTGATGGCCGCTCGCATCCACTATCGATTTCTGCCATCGAACCTGATTATGCTCGCGCGCGGAGGCGCGTGGAACGCTCTCCGAGATTATATACACGCGGATAGGAAACGCTCTCGAGGGAAGCCCGGGTGGAATCACTCCGTCCGGCAGTGGTTATGCAGTGTATTATAACGTAGTTGCATACAGAGAATGCGTCCGAAGTCGCAATGTCGCTCGCTTCGCAACGAGGGGGCGAGTGTCCCTCGCCCCCGATTTCGATAAGCCTCGCGTGCGCCGCGCCGCGAGAGACCGTAGAGAGACCGAAAATAAGAGACACGTGCTTTCTCGCGAGTGTTTCCTCGCGCACGTTTAGTGCTTCAGGCAGTTACACGCTCCGCGTGTCTGCTCGCGGACCGACCGTTGTATCAATGAATTATATCTGACATGGTGATTGTGTATGAATGTTGTTCAAACAGCGGGACATACGTGGGAAAATGTTTCACGCAACATTTTTATTGCGCTTCATCTGCCTTTTTGATTGCGCTTTTAGATTTTTTAAAAGCTTCACATTTTTCAACGTTTCCGTTCGTTGTTATTTTTATGAATTCTTTCGTAAGGAGGAAACTTTGAAATTTTTGCATTTTCATGGCAGGAAGAGATGAGAGAAAACATTTTTACAGCGTACTTAAGCGTGTATAATAAAATCATATCGTACAGTCGCGCATTTTCAGCGCGCGAAGTGCAAAAGTCGCGCTACAAGTAGTTGACAGACGCGTCGAGTCTGTCCCTCTTTCTGTACTTCGCCCAGACATGACGGGTCTGTAGCTACTTACGAACGTCTCGTCTGTCCCTCTTGTGCGCGCGGTGCTTCGCAGAATTTCCTCCCTTCG